CGGGGGGTGTCCGGGGCTGTCCTGCCGGGGGTCCCGGCAGTCCCGGGGATGTTCAGGGGGGTGTCTCGGTGGTCCCGGGGCTGTTCAAGGGTGTCCCGGGAGGTGTCCCGGGGGTCCCGGTGTTCCCGGGGGGTGTCCGGGGCTGTCCTGCCGGGGGTCCCGGTGGTCCCGGGGGGTGTCCGGGGCTGTCCTGCCGGGGGTCCCGGTGTTCCCGGGGGGTGTCCGGGGCTGTCCTGCCGGGGGTCCCGCGCTCGCCCCCCGCAGCTGCCGCTGGCCCCCAGCGCGTGCTGCGGCTGGAGCTGCTCGAGGCCGAGGCTCTGGTGGCCAAGGACCAGCGGCTCGGGGGGCTCGGCCGGGGCCGCTCCGACCCCTACGCCAAAATCCGCGCGGGCGGGAGCGGCTTCCGCAGCCGCGTGATCCGGGAGGAGCTGAACCCGCGCTGGAACGAGACCTACGAGGTACCGGGAAACTGAGGCACGGGGAAACTGAGGCACGGGGAAACTGAGGCACGGGGAAACTGAGGCACGGGGAAACTGAGGCACGGGGGAAACTGAGGCACGGGGAAACTGAGGCACCGGGAAACTGAGGCACGGGGAAACTGAGGCACGGGGGAAACTGAGGCACGGGGAAACTGAGGCACCGGGAAACTGAGGCACCGGGAAACTGAGGCACGGGGGAAACTGAGGCACGGGGAAACTGAGGCACGGGGGGGAATTTTATCATATATAATTATTATATAATATAAATAATATATAATATATAATATTATATATAACTTATCTATAATACACAAATTAAATATAATAATATATAGTAATATTACTTATTATTTTAAAATACATAATAATAAATACAATACAATATTAATAATAAAAGACTAATTAACAGTACTATTATTATTATTAAAATACAAAATGATAAATATCATAATAAAGCATTCATAATAAAAGACCAATTAATAACACTATTATGAGATATATATTATTATATTACATTACATTATATTATATTATATTATATTATATTATATTATATTATATTATATTATATTATATTA